GCTAACAGAATGCACGGACAACTCTTTGAGTAAGCATGTTCTCTCGTGCTTCATCTCCTATAAACCAACATACAAGTTGTCATCACATATTGGATGTACTGTAAAGTAGCGGGACTTCCCTCTGTCAGTCATGCGATTCCTAGTGTACACCCCAAGAAACTTTGTGTATTCATTTGGCAATATGAAAGCAGCAGGGCTGAAGTCGTACAGGGCTGTGCCGAAAGCAATCTTCATTCTTCTCATGTGTCGTGCCAGACAGTCCTTGCGTGTAATCTGGCTCATTTTGGGATGGTGGTTCAGTCTCTGCCATGGCAGGATGTTTTCGTAGTCTGACTTACGGAAGCCAGAGGCTCTCCAGTAGAGGTTCCAGTCTCCTTCCTCCTGCTCCTCTTCATCATACTCCTCCCAGCCACGCTCCAACAGCACCTCACGTACCACCTGTGGAGCTCCTCCGTGCAGTCTGAACACCAGGGGAGCAAAACCACATTCCCTTTCCGCCATAGAGTCATGTAAGTCAGTTCTCTGAATTCTGCATGGAATAGGGGAACTCACATTGGTTTAAATTTCAAATGGATCCTGCTGTTTTGTTATTACTGGAAATGCTTATCGTTGCTACTTATTATGTAGATCCCTTAGTAATTAATACAGCTTATAAGTTGTCATGTGAATACAATGCATGACAACATTTCTGTTAAAGTTTGTAATAAATAATGAAAAGAAAAAACTGATTAATGCAGTCATATGCCAGTTGTTTAGAACAGGGATTTTTAAACTTTTAGATGCAGTGGGCCCTCCAAATACTGTATAAGCATACTCATGTGAAGGACCCCTATCTTAAAAAGGAATTTTAGAGGTTGTTATATATAAAGGCACAATACATAGAGTTTTAAAAAATGATCATAAATATGTCTGAAGTATTATTTAGAAAATATTTAGTTTTTGTTAAGTTTTCTAATGCATGTTCTATTCATAATACTGTACTGTACTTATTTATTTGTCTTTATCTTAATTTTATTTTTTATTGTCTATTTATTTGTACATTTTTCCTAACTGTTTTCCCTGAACTTTTTAATAGATCCACTAGTATTCCCTTGCAGTCTACAGTTTAAAAACTCCTGTGGTCTAGAGCAGTGTTTCCCAACCTTTCTTTAGTCGCGGCACCCTTTGGAAATTTTAACAAATTTGTGGCACCCTACAAAATTAATTTTGTCACAATATTAACTATATTCGGTACAGCAGGGAAGAACTGCAGAATATACTGTCATACAGATATTTTTAATATTATAAAAAAAATTGTCCATCAATGGTGGCAATCAGTAGGCTAATTTCTAATGAAAAGACCCATTTATATGACAAATTTTAATGTAGGCTTTTATTCATATGTAAACATTGTGAGATAGCTAGTTATAATGGTAATTAAACAAAGTTTTGCTCCCTCAGTGTATTTTTGATTTTACACTTGGGTAATTTTGTTGCAGTAGCACGAGATAGCTTGATTTAAAACTTTGAATTGAATAAAAAATGACAAG